AGTTTAGGCAGTTAAAAACCGTTATCTTCCCCACATATTGGCATAAAACTATGTCTCTTATTCTGTAACCCTCTACTTCGAGTGGCTCCCGGATTTTGAACAAAAATGGAACATCATTGTAATGCAAAATAACTGCCAAAGTAACTTAAGAATATTTCAACTTAAAAATTAAATCAAGTAAAAAAAACTTTTGCTGATGAAGGGAATAGAAGTCTGGAAATGTACCAAACATTCAATAATCCCTAAATACAAAATTCTTAACTTATTCCACCACCTGACAACTACAAAAAATATATAAATAAAGCAAAATGTCAAATTGTAAAACTTCAAATCATCCAAAAAACATCAAATTTATAAAACTAAAATTAAGATTTTCTTTCAGAAGTTCTGTGTCACTTATTAAGTATGTGATCAGCTAAGTAAGAGTTGAGAAAATTATATATATATATATATATATATATATATATATATATATATATGCATGCAGAATTAAATAAGAAAAAGAAGTAATCTTTACTAAAGCCCAAACAAAACAAATACGGCATAAAGGAAACTTACTATGTTATTGTTGTTATGTAACTAAATATCACTGTAAAGTGAACATCCTTCAGAAATGCAATCTAGATGAGATCAAATGTAATTTTGTTTTTGGACAGGTACACATCTCAATGTTTTCTTTTTAAAAGGTAGATCCCACTTAAGAGGAATCATGCCGAAAATTCTTCAATTAAAAAAAGAATTCATTTAAATCCACAACCATTCCAAGATTCAGCTTGTTCAAATCTTGACAATAATGTGAGTTTTCATCTAAATAAAAATTTGTTTAAGATTAAGTTTATTGTAATTTTAACTTCTCCCAATAAAATTTTGCTAATAAATAAATAAATACAGAAAAAATTAGAACCTGTGAAAAATAAAGTAAAATAGACGGACTTCTCAACTTGATTCAATTTATGAATTTTTTTTTTATACAATTTAAATTTTAATTAATTACAATTACATACTATAATTAACTGCTAGGGTTCTTCCTAGTATGTAATAAAATTTCAACTGATTGCAATTAGGAGACAAGTTGTTAAACTGAAAATGTAACACATTTAAAAGTTGAAACAAGTTTTAAAGAAAACAAAATGATTCCAACTGAATGTTCTTTCATTATGACCTGTTGTTATTTTGATCGCTTATAAAATTGTCATCAGCAAAAATATGAACTTTGTAACAAAAAGATAAATTGTTTTCACGCTGGGACTAAAAGAACATTACACAATGTTTTATTTAAAACATTGTGTAGCTGTTTTAGTTAATGTTTAAAAAAAAAATTTTTTTTTTTATTTTACATTTATTATCCAAATACTTCAACTTTATGATCGCGAAAAATAATGAAACGTTTTTTCACTTTTCAATTTTGAGAAAAGACAATTTCAAAAAGCCTATATAATGTTGTATTGAAACTAAATTTAATTTTCTGTGTTCGAATTTTCAAATTAAAAAAAAAACTGATCACAAATAAAAAAAATAAAAATAAAAAATAAAAAAAAACATACTTCTGAATATGTTTCATAAAAGTACATATATCAAAAAGCAAATTTTAAATTACAAATACTTTCTCCTAGCTGTATCTAATTTGCCAAATTTAAATTTACAGGTGGTTACGTAAAAACATCGTGAAACAAAACAACGAAACAAGATATGAGAAATAATGTGACCCTGATGAAGTAAGCAAGTAAACAACATTTATTGGTATTTTCTTAAACTCACCGGTGAGTACCAGTAATAATTCAGATAACCACCAAGAGCTGTTTTAATACCCATAAAACATGATTTAGAAATAATCATGTCCCATTGCTTTCCTTACTTGCTAAAAATATCACAAAGAAATTCCACAATGTGTAGGTGGATACAAACTTAAAGAATTTCACTTGTTAAAAATGCACACACAGACATAATATCACGTGTTCAAATGTTGTAGATGTTTATATAAATTATTATTAAATTCTTTCGTTATGAGAAAAATATAAATATCTGAGGATTAACGATGAAATTCAGAAATAGGAATCTCAAATTTTATGGTATAATAATTCAATTGCAGGACCACAGGCCATTTCCCCACACTGACAATAAAAATTACCTTGCATAAAAAAAAGCTAAAGCAGGAAAATATATGTAAATATTTTTTGAATTGAAATGTCGAATTTATTAAACAAACTCTTCGATAAAAATAAAATCCGAATTAAAGCTAAGAATTCAATTAAAAATTCAAAGCAAAATACCTTTTTAAAAAACAAAAGAAGCAAATCAGCCTTTTTCAATGAATGGAAGTCGCTTACTCATGAGGGTGACACATTAAAAAAAAAAAAAAAAAAAAAAACAAATTTCATGATTCACTTCACACGCATGGTAGAATATTATTGTAATTCATCTTTCATTTTATGATTAGGAAGTATTTTTAAAATTTAAATTAATTTACTTTAAAATGCATTTTTTACTGAATTTTGGCGTGTATCCAGAGAGAGACGAGTTACTTTGTTCTTTTTGAAATATTGAGGTCGGTCGAAATAAAATAACATTATAAATAACAATAACAACTTAAAAGATAAATTATTCAAGTTTCATAGAACGAATAAAGAAATCGTAATATTTCTTAAAAATCACATTAAAAAAATCAAATGTTAAAAACGAAAATAAAACAATAGCAAAAAAAGGAAAAGTTCCAACAACAGACGCGTTCTTAAAGTAGATTGTTTTAATTTTATGATTGAAAATAATAATTTTAACTTAGAAATAATAAATAAATTATAATAAATTTTGTTTATATAGTCTAAATAACGGTTAAAAATGGATAACCATAATTCGATGCTAAGTTTTTTTTTTTTTTTTGGTCTATTCAAAAATGTCAGCTGATTTGAAACCAGAAAACTGCAGAATAGTCAAGCAAGAAGAAGAGTGTACAGCTGAACTGAAGAATTGGCTTCTTAAGGGGAATTCAAACTCTCCTTTACAAAAGACACTACATGATTGCCTTAATTAAGTTAAAAAGAAAAAAAAAAGAAAAAAGGTTACTACAAAAAAAAAAAAAAAAAAAAACCGATTTCGTGTTATTGTTGTTGTGGAGGGGGACACGTCGACAAAGAATTGAATACAATGAAAAAAAAATTTTTAAATACACATTCCTATTTATTCAATATGGCATTTTTAATGATCTTTCTTTACTTTGTATCATGAAACTAATGTTTATTTTATTAAATTGCTCAAAATTTTAATACAAAAAATAAAAATGTTAAAATAAAAATATTAGTTTTCACTTGTCAAAGTGACAAGAAGCAGCAGTAATTAAAAAAAAATAAACAAAAAAAATAATTTATATTAATAATTAAACTAATTAAAGCAATTACTTTTTTTTGCATCCAATAACCAATAATGAACTTTAAGGTCAACATAGTAAAATTATTTGTAATTAATAACTTTAGTGCTGAATAATAAATTAAAAAAGCAAAAAAAATCTTTCTACCAACCAAAGCAATATAAAAAAAATCAGAACATGTGTTTATCAAACTTACATTTTATCTATCAAATCAAACCTAAAACTCTATAAATTTTATTTATTTATATATTTTGAGCGATCATTTTTTTCCTCAAAATGTTTGATTCGAATCAATATTGGGAGATTTCCTAAGGGTTTTTCCCCCATCGTATTTATTCTCAGTGGTTGAAAAAAAGTACCTGTTGTCAGAACAAATCATTGATAGTAAAGTAGCAGTACCGGCAAGATTAGATTGCAGTTTTAGTGTAGAAGTCAGGAGAAAAAGAGGAGGATAAAAAAGGTAGCTTGATATATGAAAAAAAGACTATTGAAAATGATGGGGGGAAAAAGAGAGACCCACATTTATTCAGCCATATTCCTTTTCTTAGACTTCTCCGAACACTTAACCTTTTTTTTTTCTAGGCGATTATTTTTACTTTTAGTAGCCTTTTCCTAATAATACTTAATTAATTATCTGCATGCAGCTATTGAAAAAGATATTTATTTTAGGCTTTTAAGTCTTAAATTTTTAATAAATAATAATAATTTTTTTTTTGTCACTAGGGGTCGTCCTCCCACTCAGCTGACTTGCAGATTTCTTGGAACTTCCCTGTTTTTGTTTTTAAACACATTACCTTAAATTAAAACGTTTAAAACTTCTATTTTAAACGTCGATCATATATTCTATATATATATATATATATATATATATATATATAGAATTGGAATTTAAAAAAAAATAAAAAAAAACGATCTAATTTTAAAATCCTATACTTTTTTAGAAAAGTGGGACTGTCGGAATTTCTAAGAGAAGAGAAAAAAATGGTCGATATACTTTCTTTTTGAGTCTCTTCCAGGTAAATATACAAACAATCAATTTCTTTTTTTTTTCAGAAAAGTCCTATTTTTTCTTACTTTAACAATAAATAAAAAAAAAAACCGGAACATTTTTAACAGCGCGATGTTTGCTTAAGGAAATTTGGTGTCAAGTGGTATAAGATGATGAACCATAATTACTCCCCAAAAAATGAAATTCTTCCCATGAAGCCCCCCTTTTAGGTGAATACACTTCCCTAGCAATAGATTTTATAAACATATTTGTACGTGGGATGGATATTAGGTAACTAAGGTCAGTTTTTTTTTTAGGCGACGTGGTCATACTCATGTTCTTTATTGATGTTTAAAAAGAGACATCTTCGCTTTGCACTGTGTACGTGTTTGTGTAGCAGCACACCCTTACGTAAAACGGAGGGAAAAAAAAACACACACAAAAGGAACGTTTTAGGAGGAGAAACAAGGTTAAACTAATTATAAGGAAAGTAGGTAACTGTAAACAAAATAAGGGTAAGAAAGTCCAGCAAAAACTAAACAATTCAGAGCCATAAGGCTGTTTTTGGTTTTTAGCGGTAGTAAGTAGGTACAGTCGTCCTGCGACAGAAAAAAAGTAACCGATTGTAGTAGTATACAGTACAAAGCCTACCTATGGAACGGTGATGCTTTCCCTGGTATGAATAGGGGGGAAATAGGGTGTATCTGCAACCGGGGTGTCAGGAATGGTCAATCCTCGGTACCAGGAATTTGAAGGTGTTGATATCTCCTGTGATTTTTAGACTTAGTCCTGGGCTTACGTGGTCTTTGATGACAGGAGGGGGGGGCACGCCGGAACTGGACACTGCCGCACATGCGCCATGCAGACGACGTGGCACTACTTCCGTTCGCCACAAACTCCCACAATGCAAAGCGAATGCACGCGATTTTCCGCTTTGCTGTACGTCGTAAGGAAGAGTAATTCGACTTGTTACACTACTTGTAGGTCGTTTATTAGCAAAAAACCATTTGATGAATAGATTGTTCTCTATAATTTATATATCATTGGTAAACAATGATACACATTATAGAGGAGAAGAAGAAAAAAAAAGATAAGCTTTATTTCTATGAGTTTTATCACGAACTCGTACCTAAAATATTTTGCAGGAAATGTGAATGTACAGCGTGGTCCGAAAGTCTTGTCACCTCCTACAAAAAAAATCTAACAAAAAGTAATGAGAACAATAGAAGAACAAGTAATAATGCAATCACAAGAACTGGATTCAGTTTATTTACTTTCATTGACGCTGTCACACGTCGAGAAGGCCTGTATAAACCCCATCATTTTCGTGTCAGCCATCTGAAATAGAAAATTACATTATGTGGGAGTGACAAGACTTTCGGACCACCCTGTACTTTATTTAAAGTACATAACATTAATTTCATTAAATGCTGCGACACCAATAAATTAACATTGCATTAATTAACACATTAGTACAGAATATATATATATATATATATATATATATGCATTCAAGCAAAGGCATGAATTGTAAAAGAAAAACAAAAATTCAAAAGCATTAAATTAAAACAAACTTTAAATTCGACATTGATTGAATTCACCCATTTCAAAATCAGCCTGTTGACATGGTGGACAGTTGTTCAAAAGTAGTGAAATCTTGAACATGAATGAAGATGCCATAGAGTTGGGAGTGAAAATGAGGAAGGAGGACTTGGAAAATGTGATACTCACACGACGGAAATGGGACAGAGGAAAACAAACACATGACATTTTTAATGGGCTTGATCAAGTGAATGACAAAACAGGGTCTGGGAGAAATAACATAAAGACAAATTTTATAAAGAGCTATAAGGGATAGGAGGATGTGGAGGGCCATGATCGCCTACACCCTGAAGAAACGTCACATAAAAGAACACTAACTTACAATTCTTGCGATATTTCACAAATTTTTGTGCTTTGTCTAATTATAAGTAAGTTAAATGCTATAAAAAGTGAATGCATGCACACAATCTCATATAGTTGTAAGCATTAAATGACATAAATCTGTACTCACTATTTCTATGATGAAGACTTTTTACATTTGAAATATTGTCCTCATACTTCATGATTAGGACAGTGTTTCGGCTGTTGTGCCTTCGGCCTTCTTCAGGTGTTTCATCAATCTGTGTTGTAACCTTCAGGGAATTTTGAACTGAATCCTTTATTCAATCTACTCCTGTAAATTAGATAATAATAATATATAATCTACTCCCATAAATTACCATATTTGACAGCATATAAGATGCACCCCCCCAGTTTCAGCAGGGAAAATCAAGAAAAAATTAGTAAATGGTACAGCTTAGGCTATATTTACGAGGTATTATTTTGGGTAAGCAGTCTATACTTACAATTAAACGTCTAATAATTGAAAAAAAAGAATACGAGCCTATAAAAACTACTATATCCAAAGGTAAGAAAACAAAATAAAAATTAAGCAATTATTACATTTGAGCAAAACAGTACAGTTACCATTAAAATTTTATTCATCTTCAAATCCTAAAATTCCTCATCTTCATTATCAAAACTCTGATACTCATTTTCAATACTACTATCATCGTCATTAAATAATGTCATATTCTGTTCCATTGAGAGAATTGCTAATGCCACACTTTTTAAAAGATTTCACAGCAATTCCTGGTCTAATATTATCCCAAATTTGCTTCACCCATTCACAGACTTGTGCAATGCTGGGTCTTTTTATTCATCCTGTAAGTGTAAGGTCGTAATCAGGCACTGCCATCCACATGTTTCATTGCTCCTTCATGTTTAAGTCTAAATTAATAGGAATTGCCAGGTTGCTAATTTCGGCCAACTATCACAAATTTTAAACCTACATATGGCATATAAGATGCAGGGGAATTTTAAAAGATATTTTTAGTAAAAAAGGTGTGCCTTATATGCCGTCAAATATGGTAAATATTATTATTAATAATATTTAATATATGGGAGTAGATTAAATAAAAGGTTCAATTTCAAATTTCTGCTCCTAGTTGGATTTAAAGCAGTGGCAAACAAAATTTTCACATGCAAACAACAGGTTGCCATGTTAGTAGAAGTGAAAAGAAATGGAATAAATTTCATGAAAATAAAGGTATCTTCATGTATTTTATATATGGTTAATAAATGATTAAATGATTAAACTATACTTGTATGCATGCAAAAATAGCCACCCTGGGTATGGCGATAAACTACATTCATATCCTGGGTAGGACAATAAAGTACATCCAACAAGATTAGGAGATTTTAAAGAGCATGGAACCACCTCTTAATTGCTGGTGTTCCCAGGTCCACACTAACACAGGGTGGTAGCACCTGTTAGGGTCCCAGCTATGGGCAAATAGTTAACCCCACCAAACAGATTAAAACACAATGAATGTGTAAAAATAGGTTTTAATACCAGCAATACATTTTTGAAGAAAAAAATTATTACCAGCAATACATTTTTGGAAAAAAAAATAGATTACCCACAATACATTTTATGGAAAAGAAAAAAAATATTACCAGCAAAAATTTTGTTGGTATTAAATAACCCACTAAGGTTGATATGCCATAAAACCAACCAAAACAAACAAAAAGCAAAAATAGCTGAAAATAAAGAAAACATTAAAATCTAGCTCCATCTTGGGTAAGACGATAAACTACATCCGTGTCCTGGGTAAGACGATAAAATACATCCATGTCCCGGGTAAGACGATAAAATACATCCGTGTCCCGGGTAAGACGATAAAATACATCCGTGTCCCGGGTAAGACGATAAAATACATCCGTGTCCCGGGTAAGACGATAAAATACATCCGTGTCCCGGGTAAGACAATAAACTACATCCGTGTCCTGGGTAAGACGATAAAATACATCCGTGTCCCGGTAAGACAATAAACTACATCCGTGTCCCCGGTAAGACAATAAACTACATCCGTGTCCTGGGTAAGGCGATAAAATACATCCGTGTCCCGGTAAGGCGATAAAAATACATCCGTGTCCTGGGTAAGACGATAAAATACATCCGTGCCTCGGGTAAGACGATAAAATACATCCGTGTCCTGGGTAAGACGATAAAATACATCCATGTCCCGGGTAAGACGATAAACTACATCCGTGTCCAGGGTAAGACGATAAAATACATCCGTGTCCTGGGTAAGACGATAAAATACATCCGTGTCCTGGGTAAGACGATAAAATACATCCGTGCCTCGAGTAAGACGATAAAATACATCCGTGTCCTGGGTAAGACGATAAAATACATCCGTGTCCCGGGTAAGACGATAAAATACATCCGTGCCTCAGGGTAAGACGATAAAATACATCCGTGTCCTGGGTAAGACGATAAAATACATCCGTGTCCCGGGTAAGACGATAAACTACATCCGTGTCCAGGGTAAGACGATAAAATACATCCGTGTCCTGGGTAAGACGATAAAATACATCCGTGTCCTGGTAAGACGATAAAATACATCCGTGTCCCGGGTAAGACAATAAACTACATCCATGTCCCAGGTAAGACGATAAACTACATCCAACTGCAAAGCCTCTGATCATGGGATTTTGAGGAGCATGGAACCACCTCTTAATTGCTGATGTTTACAGGTCCACCCTGACCCAAGGTGGTAGCACCTATTAGGGTCCCAGCTATGGGAAAATAGTTAAAACACCCCACCTTCCCGCCGCAAACTGGGGTCAAAGTGCTATGAATGTGTAAAAATAGGTTTTAATACCAGCAATACATTTTTTAAGAAAAACTATTACCAGCAATACATTTCTGGAATAAAAGAAAATCTTAGCAACAATATATTTTATGGAAAAGAAAAAATATTTCAAGCAAAACTTTTGTCCGCATTAAATAACCCACAGAGGTTGATATACCATAAAACCAATCAAAACAAACAAAAAGCAAAAATAGCTGAAAATAAAGAAAACATTAAAATCTACCTCCGTCCTGGATAAAGTAATAAACTATATCCATGTCCTGGGTAAAACGATAAACTACATGCACGTCCTGGGTAAAACGATAAACTACATGCGCGTCCTGGGTAAGACGATAAACTACATCCGCATCCTGGGTAAGATGATAAAATACATCCGCATCCTGGGTAAGACAATAAACTACATCCGCATCCTGGGTAAGACAATAAACTACATCTGCATCCTGGGTAAGATGATAAAATACATCCGCATCCTGGGTAAGACAATAAAACATCCACGTCCTGGATAAGATGATAAACTACATCCAACAGCAAGGCCTTTGATCAGGAGGTTTTGAGGAGCATAGAACCACCTCTTAATTGCTGGTGTTCCTAGGTTCACCCTGACTCAGGATGGTAGCACCTCTTATGGTACCAGCTATGGGCAAATAGTTAACCCCTAAACTGGGGCTAAAACACTATGAAAGTATAAAAATAGGTTTTAATACCAGCAATACGTTTTTGTAAAAAAATTATTAGCAGCAATTAATTTTTGAAGAAAAAACTATTACTAGCAATACATTTTTGCAAAACAAAAACATTACCAGGAATAAAAATCCATGCCAGATGTCCTCAAGGACACATGGCACAGTGGATAAAGGCGTTGGTTAGATCCAGTGACAGACCCAAAGAAGGTGAGTTCAATTCCTGGTTAAGGCAGTCGAGAACTTTCAGAGGGAAAATTAGCAGGAGATAACTGATAACTGACATCCATCAAACATGGCACGTGGAATTAGAACAGTCTACCCCAGCGATCGAAATAAAGGGTTCAGTTCGAAATTCCAACCACCTGAAGAAGGCGTACAACGGCCGAAACGTTGTAGACAAATATGGCGACAAAGATGAGGACAATAGTCCGACTAATGTACTGCATTAAATAACCCATTGAGGTTGATATTAAAACAAACCAAACCGAAATCTAGCTATTTGGAATTGTGTG